AGTGGAAGTTCTGGCACAACAAGAAACCAGATATGTTCCTGTAGGATTACAAGAAAGGCTAATTAAAAGAAAACACTCTCCAACCATTGGACACGAGGGCGGACTGATCCTGATTGTGATTTGATCTCATGTATCAACCCTTTCACATCCTGCTTAACCATTTGGTGGAGCGTGTCTTTCACCGGATAAATACGGTCATAGGATATACTGGAGGAAGTGCACATACCTAAACTAACTCAAAGATTATCTATAGCTATGTGATGCCTAACTTAGGCACGATTAATGGCACGTCTTTTTCATAATACAATACAATAAGGTGTCACGCCAATTATCCGTGAAAAAAGCATCGATTCTGGCTGTTATTCTTTTTTTTTCTAAGTTAAGATGTTAAAGGGTCAAATTCTGACATACTATTTTGAAAAGATAATTTTCTTCCACTAACAGTTTGGGGATGTGTGTTTTCCTGTTGAAAAAAGATTAGCCTTGCCAGCCCTTCATCATCCAGTTACAAACAATGTCATGATTACATGTGATCAAACATTTTGCGAGTCATCAAACGGTAACTACATTGTATCCGTGTCCAACAAAAACTTCCTCAGACTTTACCGGTGTTGAACAGGTCACGGCCTCCGTGTGCTCTCAGATCGTGTGAACTCAGAAATAAACAAACCGTTATTGTGTGCGTTCAGAAGCGGTGCATTTGGCAGCGTGCTTAAAAGGGACGGTGCAGATTAGCGTTTCCCAAAAGTGAGCTATTTTTACTTTGGGTAATCCCACCGCAAGACTACAGCCTTAACTTTTGTTCTAAAGTTGCAGTGGTTCCAGCGAAGCAGCAACGCCTTTTCCTCCCACTCCCCCCGTTTCTTCCCCCCCAGATAAGGATTTAAAGGCCCGAAGGCCAAAGTGATTGAGTCAGATATCATGAAAGAACATGCATTCTAGATGATTATGACACCTGCTGCGGCTCTCGAAATGTTGGGGCTTAAATGTCAAGAGTGTGTGAGTATGAAGATGCCAGAGTGAATGGGCTGAAAACCAAAAAGTTTTAATCACTAGCAGCTCTCTCACCTCTCGGAAAAAAGAAGCAGGTTTATGGAGAGAATATGGAGGCCTCATGCCCGGATACCGATGGCTGTGTGCCATAAAAACACCCACTGCCATCATTCCAACACAGTTCATGACTCCACACCCACCTCCTCCTCACACACACACAACACACATATACACACACACACACTACTCTGCATTCCCATCCCCTACTTCTTTGGACATCTTTTCCGTCTCTTTCATACAAAAATGGACAAACTGAAGAACACACAGTGTTATCTTGCTCTTGCACGCACCTCTTTCATCCCTCTTTTGTGTTCTCCCTCTCATGCACGTACAGTTTTCCCACGAGCGTGCATGCACAGACACACACTTCCATAGAAACTACTAATCCTCCTATTAACCTTGGCCCATTTCTTTCTGTCTTTCTTCCTCCCACACACACACACACACACAGAGAAACATTCTCCTATGACCTGCTGGCTGGTTGCAGTCAGTCTGGAAAAAAAGCTCCCTTACTCACATAGAGATCCAATAAGATGGAGCACTCATGGTGAAGCTGCGCGGCTATGTCCGCTGACCGGGCCGCAGCGGTCCTGCCCAGTTCCGATCGGTTGGTGCTTCTGGTCCGTCTGGCTGACATCCCCCCTCAATCTGCCTGAAACGCCGAAAAGAGCCGTTTAATGAGCTACGGGACAGCAACAGGTCCGCCTTTTCTTTTTTTTTTTTCCTACACCCTCCTGGAAGCCTGCCTCATCCCCACAGCGGTCACGTTTCAGATTAACTTTCCCCTCCTCTCCCCTCCGATTTGTGCTACGTCAGAAAGAGCCAGCTGGGCACTCGTCTGTCTGAGAGTTCCTGTAAGGCGAGTTCTCCCGTTTGTCCGACCTTACCGTAAGAATCTTATGTTACAAAGTTTGAAGCCAGCTCCCCGCCCACTCCCCCGGGAACCTGATGCCTGGCTGGCGGAAATAAATGGGACAAGCTGCACGGCGAGTCAGAGAGGAGGAGTCGGGAGGAACACATCAAGTTATTCATGAGGGGCTTATCTCATATACTGGTAGTGACAAATGCGAGTGTGTGTGGGGTGGGGGGGGGGCTTTCTGGACTATTCAAACGACTTCCGTTACTTGTGCATGTGTCTGCCCTGTGATAAGAAAAAGAGAGAATACAAATATCAAGAAAACCATAATACGTCCTAAACCCCAATAGGATGTTAGTACACAATAGGGTACTAACATACTATCCTCCAACTATCCAAGGAGCTGCAATTCACAAATGACTCAAGAAAGTTTTCTAAAGTTGTTGTTTTTTTACGGTTGTTTTTTAAAATAAGGAAAAATGCTGTTGTTCTGGGTGATTAATTTGCAGTTGATTTTAACTTTCAAAATACGAAAGGGACATCACGTTGGTTTAAAATTTGATTTCTATATCAGATTCGTAGAGGTCAACATTTTAAAAAAATTCTACCTAATCTAGTATCTATACACAACACATACATACAATGATATGCATGTATGTGTGTACCAGCTGATGTATTTTATAAAGTAGTATTTGCTTTTGTGCAAAAGTGTTCACTGTGCAAAAAAAGACACTCCTCATAAAACAAGAAGTTCCCAGGAAAATAGGAGTGGTGTCTTATTAAAACAAGTAAGAGCATGGCAAAATTCTTCTGCACTGGAAACGCATTGAAAGTATTTTTGGTTACTGGCTAATTTTCTAACAGCCTTAGAGGATCTATATATTGTATTTTGCTTGTTTTTTAACTGTATTTGTCAAGATTTAATCTCTTAAATCTAATGGAAATGGAAAGGGAGGTACTTCAGATTAGAAAATGCTACTTCTGCATGTTTCCAAACTTTTTCAGTTTATAAATAATTACATAATATGTCGAAAGATTCTTTGGCAATTTTTTGGACCGAGTTAATACCAGATGATTATCTAGGACCAAATTCAAAATCACCTGTTCCTCATTTGAGTGCCTTACAATAAATCAGTAAAGTGAATGTGATTTTATTATATTTGACTATTATTATCTGCTGCTCTCAGTCAGTTTTTTTTGTTTTGTTTCTTGTGGTTAAGGCTGCAAAGTCCTATATATCCTGAGTTTATTGGAACTTTTTCTGACTGGGTTCTGATCTTCCAAGCACACAAAATCTTGCATGGGAACATACTGAACTCTGCTCATAGTTCTCCCCTGTGCAGCTTGTCGCCATCCTGTCTCTTTGTCCACCTTAAGCTCACCCGGGGAGCCTGTCCTCTCCAAACTCACATACATTAGTCCCATCATGTACGCCTGAGCAATTAAATGTGAGCCGTCTTTGGCTGCCCGTACTTTTCTGATTCATTTAAGAGCAATCATCCGACAATCTGATTCGTTGTGGTTTGCCTCAGGGCTTCCCCAGATCACAGGCCTGGGCAAGACACTGAATCCAAAGTCACCCACTGATGCACCCATCGGAATGTGACGTGTTTATAAAAAACTCAGTGTAGCATGTTAAGTTGAATAAACTGCGACTATATGACTGTCAATTAATGTGGCTTGACGTGTAAAATAAGCCATTATCAAGTGGTCAGCTAGAGCACAAAGCCTGACACAAGTCTAAAACATTACCTACGACCAGACAGTTGTGCCCACATCCATTCATGCGTTGGACGTCTAATCGATCAATGTCATGGTAAAAGAAACTTTACACTGCATGTAGTAAAGAGGGGAGGAGAAAAGTTACCCTGTAAGCAGAGTGGAGCAGAGTACATGTTCAACATGAGCAAAGATTATTACGGCTTAACTCTGACCCGCTACAGTAAGTGCTGTAGGTGGATATTTGGATGGTCAATGCGCTGGTATGAATGACCACCTTAACTCTGCAGCGAAACATTTCCAAACTTAAGGGAGGGTTTTTTATTGGGGAATAACGCTTCTGTTAAAGGCACTGGTAGAATCATTGAGAGTTTGTAAAGGATTAAGACAATATGATGCATGATGCAGCCTTCAAAGTCACTAAATCTCAGTTCAGTTAAACACCTACAGAACATTTTGGACAGGTTGGAAAGAAGACTCAGCACCCAGCAACATAGAACTATGATGCGGGGGAAAAGGGATGCACAAATACACTGAATATTGCAACATTTCATAATTACATTTCAAATGAGGGGGGATAGACAATAAAAACATGAAGGAATGTCTCTAAACTGTCATCTTATGCAGATTACACACTCAATCACATAAGAAAATTAATTAGATCATTCTAAAATAAGATTTATGTATCAATGAAGTTGCGACTTACATCCCATCAAAAAAGTTCACAGGCCTATGTCAAAAGACATGTTTTCTAGAAACTTTCTTGTTTGTTGTTATTGAACTGTGTTCAGTACTAGACAACATTATGCATTAGGATTATGCATATCCTGCATAAAAACTTATTGCTAGGGCACGCTAAAGAAAAAAAATTGGCATCTTACCTGGGGGGCTCCGTAGTACAGTCGGCGTATACATTTGGGATGTTTAATGTTAATTCTTTGTTTCTTGCACCATTTCAAATGTTTGCTCTCTTCTTCCTCTTATTGTTTTCGTACTTTGTCTGAAATCACAACGCCTCCCCTTGCTGCTCCGCTGGGCCCTTTAAATTGCTACCCGGGGACTAATAAAGTTTATTGAAATTGAAAACCGTTCAGTCCTAATGGGTCAGCGTAAATAGCGTAAACCATGACGTCAGAGCGTAATTCCATGCCCTTCCTGATGGTGGCAGTAGAGACACTTTGGGATGAGCACAGGCAGGGAAGAACAACAGCGGCCATGATGAAAGCCGACCCGGGAATTATGCTAGGAGAGGAAATCAATATCATTTCATAGTTTTTACACTAAATTATGCGGGCAGCAGCAGCCGAGGAACGTCACTATCGCGTTTTTCTCCAGGGACCGGACTCGTAGGCTTAATAGATTAGCCTTTAGGATGAACTCTCTAGTCGGCTACGGAGTGTCTTCCGATTCGGATAGCGAGGGAGAGGATGTAAACATCACCAAACCGTAGTGAGTACACGCTACACGCCCCCCTCCATAAACTTTAAGTCGTTTGATGTGAGTATTTCGGTGACTAATACGGTATTGAATGCAGTTTTTTTTTCTCCTTTTGTTCTGTGTCCTAGTCCCGGTGAGGTGGTGGGTGATGACACGCAGGCCGACAAGAAAGCTCGCAACTTTTTGCTGGAGTCTGGCTCGGAGTCGAGCGACTCGGACCGGGACGACGACGACTCTTCACCCCAAACCCGAGCACCTGCACCCGGCCGCTCCGCCCTGCCCTCGCCGTCCGTCCGCCTCCAGACCTCCAAAAAACTGCCCCCTCCGTCCCTGAACGCCTGCGCTGACAGCAGTGTGTTCGCCAACCCCTTCAGGGCTCAGGCCGAGCAGAAGCTCACCGCCCTGCAGAAGCACGTCCCGCTCACCATGCAGCCCAAACCCTCGCAAATAGGCGGCAAGAGGATCTGCACGTCCTACAGGAAGGACGGAAGGTGCCGATTTGGGATCAAATGCAAATTCGCTCACGACAGTGATCTCCAGACGCCGTCCGCCCCACGCGGTCCACCTGCCAGTGAGGGCACCTCCGAGGCGGCCGGGGCCTCTAAAGGCCCCCAGCAAGGCCGCAGAGAGGGGGAGGCAGAGGGGCAGCAGGCCAAGAAGAGGAGGGTCGGACTGAGCAACACCCTGATCCCCCCCAAAAGAGCTATGAAGCAGTACACTGCGCAGAGGGACAGAGAGCGGGTCAACATGTCCTGATGTGCAGGGAAGTTAGTTCTGCTCGCGTTTGTATGCGTTTTTTTTTAAATAGAATAATCAACTAATGACTAGTTAATTTAATATCAGACACAAAGGTGGAAGTCTGGACCTCCTGTTTGCGCCTGACAGCTGCTTTGACTGAAGGCTACTCCGCATTCCAAGAAGTGGTTGGAACTAAAGACACAAACCATGAGCAGGAACTATGGGGGAAAGACCCCAACTACTGATGTGCAAACCTGCTGCAGCTCCTGAGAAGAGAAGGGGGAAAAAATCACCTCAGGTTTTAGCCTGTACTTCCAGTAAATAAACACGCTTTACATATATACGTTAAGACATTTATTTACATCTTGTAATTTGACAGATGTTTATTGTTTGTGCTAGAATAACTCTAAGGTGAGAGATTATAAGGTTCTACATAGTTTTGTTTCTCAAATGTCATTAAACTTGAATGGTTATTCAATCGGTGACTGTTTGCTGTTACTTATTGCCGTACTATGTGACTCGCAATGTTTTTGGCCGCTCAGAAACACTTTGACAGACATGTTATCATTCCCTACTGTCTATGAATAATTAATGATGGGCAAAACCTGAAATGAGCACATTCTGTGACTTGTACACACACACACATCATTAGTTAGTTGTCCACGTCACTTTTCCTGGGTTGTCCATGTTTCCTCTGTCTTTAAAAGGCCGTTCAGACTTCTCACCTCATACACGGGTAGTTTCTAACTTCCTGATGCGTGTTCTGTGGTCATCGTTTTAATAAATTAAACTGATTTTTTTCCCCAGCCTATTAGATGCCACGACGGAGGCATTTCCTTTCTTGCATATTACTCTGAGCTGGGCTATGCTATTGAATAATGGCAACATAAACTTATCAATATACACACTGAAAACGACTAGGTACAGGGCTGTTATGTACAAAGTTAACAACATACACAAACAAACACGTATCTTTCCCTGATACAGATATTCTAAAAAGCTACCAAGTATGACAAGGGGTGAACAGTACATGTTATATAGGTGATCCTACATTTATCTCAGATGTGGCCGTATAGTATGCATATCTATCCTCTGCTCTGTTTTACATGAGGGCCTGCTGTACGTGTCTCTCTGTTCCATCAGCCAACACCTCCCCCTGACCCGCCTGCTCCCAGACCACGCCCTCCTCCCCCACCACGTCTGCTGCCGACGGGGAGGAGGAGGAGAGCACCGGGTTGTCCAGGATGAAGTTGTCCCCGTTGGTGGAGACCGGATCCTGGGCCTGGGGCTGGGGGGCGGCCATGAGGGGGGGGCTGGGCGCGGCTGTGTGCAGGGTCTGAAGCTGCTGGGGGGTGGCCAGGATGGGGATCTGCTGAATCTGGGTCTGCGACTGGCTGACGGGCTGGAAGGTCATCTGGAGGATCTGCGGCGGCCCCTGGCCCTGCTGCTGGGGGGCGTACGGCTGCAGGGGCTGCAGCTGCGGTTGGTGCTGGGTCACCACCGAGCCGGGGTGGAGGGTCAGCTGCTGCGCCTGCTGGGCAGTCTGCACAAACTGAACGGGCATCTGGAGCTGGAGGTGGGTCTGCTGCTGGTTGTCGGCCGGCGATGGGGGGTCGATGGGGGACAGGGCAATAGTCACTGGCACCTGCATGGTGTGGAGGCTCTGGTCCTGCCCCAGTAAAACCACCTGATGGCTCACGGGTTGGCTCATCTGGGACACCGGAGCCACGTGCTGCCCGTCCTGCCCCAGCTGCTCCACCTGGCCGTCCTGCCCCGCCGGCCCCGCCTCCACGCCGCTGCCCTCGGCCTGAGCGGCGTTTCCCTGCAGCTCCAGCAGGGAGGCAGGGGTCGTGATGAGGGCGCCGGCGTTGGCTGCCAGCGCCTCGGCGATCAGCACCTCTGGGTGGCTCTTGGCCTTGTGGGCCACCACGCAGTCCTTCTTCTCGAACTTTTTGCCGCAGATGGAGCAGGAGAACTGGTAGGTGGCGTCGGCGTCATGCTTCTTCATGTGCCAGTTAAGAGACGCCTTCTGGCGGCACGTGAAGCCACAGATCTCACACCTGTGGATGGGCAAAGGCGGGTGAGAACAAAAACCTCACAAAACCGTGCGAAAGGACGCAGGAACCATGCGTGGCGGAGCACTAACTGTAGGGGTTTCTCTCCGGTGTGGATCATGCGATGAACAGCCAGATTGTGGGAGCTCTTGAAGGCACGAGCACAGAACTCACAGATGTAGTCCCTCTGGTCTGGAATAAAAATAAAGAGGATTAGGCAACTCGTTTGCGACTCAAAAGTGGTCAAAGCTCACATGCTTTGGGGGGGGGGGGGGGGGATACCTGTGTGATGCTTAGCATGACGCAGCAGCTGCTTCTGCAGGCGGAAGAGCCTCCCACAGGAAGGGTGAGGGCAGACGTACTTCTTCTTGAGCAAGTGCTGGTACTTAATATGGTGCTAGAGGAGAAAGAAGGACCTTTTGTTTTATTTTTCAGTCATCTAAAATAGAAATATGTCAATTCTTAAAAAAAGGAAAGATGAATGCTATTGTTTTTTCTGCCTTCATCAAGCTTTAGGGTTAACATTGGAGCTGACTTCCTGCGAGCAGAGAATTCTCATGCATCCTCAAAAGTGAGGATTTTCTAAGCCGATTGACAATGTACAGTGAATAGATTCTAAGCAGCCACATTTGATCTGAAAGGTGTCGCCAGGTCCGAAAGTTCTGAAACCAACCTGAAGGTAGCGGGGATGAGCCAAAACCGTCCCACATCCCTCCATCTCGCAGCGCACATACTGCACGGGGGGCTTCTTCCTGAATGAGCGGAGCACAAAAGCGGGAGAAAACCAAAAGTCAAAGGCAACGCATGTCCAGCCTGTGGGACTCTGAGCCCCCAACCAGTAATCGAGACGAGTTTACATACAGAAAGGGCTGTAAACCTGTAAGCCTCACCTCCTCTTGGGCAGCCGTGGAGTTTTGTCGTCCTTTTTCCGTCGACCTCTCCTGGCACAGAGTGAGCGAAAAAAAAATATTTGTCACCAAGTTTGTTTTGCTATGACATATGTAAGAATAACCACTCGGATTACACTTCCTGCGCATACGGTACTGCTCTTACTTCCTGGGTCCATCCGGATCTTCAACCATATCCTCTTCCAGCTTTACTTCCTCCTGCACGGCCTCCACATTGTCGGAGCCTTCTACTTTTATCTCAGCGGTCTCTTTTTCTTTCTTAGGCGCTTTCTCTCTTTCCTTGGTCTCCTTCTGCCTCGGCGGGGCTCTGCGCTTTGGTTTCGGACAGTCTCTGTAAATAAATGAGCAAATGAATGATAGTGCCAACCGCAAAGCAAAGAAAAACACGAGCTCAACAGCAGTAACCACGGCCCCCATCCCAAACAGACGCATGCAATCTCACCTTTCCACCCTCGGGTCATAACTCTGGTCATTTAAGTCATCCTTAAAGGGCTGGTCTTCCTCGCTGCTGACTCCTTCCTCCTCCTCCTCCTCTTCCTCTGCACCACTGATGGCGACAAAACCAAAAAGACTTCATGCGACTCTGTGGTTTCTCAGCATCGGGGGTGAAAGCGGTGCACGCACCTCTGACTCTGTGGCTGGTAGCTGAGATCGTTGGGGTCGTCCTGAAAATGAGGCTCTTCATCATCCAGGACTTGTGGGGCTGCGTCTTCTTTTTCTTCCTCTTTCTTTTCTCTGTGTGAGCATAAAGTTTAGTCAGTAATGAGAATGACAGTTTAAACAAAAAATACATACAAATATATATACCTAAACTATGAAAATTTCTTGCAAATTTAAGTTGACCAAACTGAATTCATAAATCCTCCAAATGTTTAATTGAAACCAATTAAGCCGTGATATTCTTACTGTGATCATTTTTGTGATCTGAATTCAAACATGTGGTTAGAGATGTGGGGGGGGGGTAGATGTCTTATATATAGTCCTAAATATAGACAACCACAATATTTTGTAACAGAACACAACTTCTGCAAAGTGTAAAAGCATTGAAAGATTGCAAAAGACTGTTTTACTCTTCAAAGAAATAAGAGGAAAATGCGGGAAAGTACTTACACGTAACACTTCTCTGGAACGCTTGCATCCCCTTGCACTGTTAAAAGACAGAAAGAGACACTGTGAGGTGACGAAAGCACTCTTCTCCACTTGTGCTTTCATGAAAATGTACACCGAGCAGGGGAACATAAAGCAGCTGCGATCTTCTGGCTGGTGCAGGTGAACTGTGGGACATGTAGAGCGGCGGCCATGACAGGACAGCACCCACATTAGGGATCCCCATTTATATTTGCACACAAAAAACACCTTTCAGACACCTAGAATTTCGATCTGTGTGTGGTCGCGGGACCAAATAATGAGCAGAACGTCGTCAACACATCACTCACCTGCTGGATTCTCCATTCCAGGTTCGGTCTTGCAAACAGCCTTGGCCGAGCCGCGCATAGCCCTGCCGGTTGGGGGCTTTGCGCCAGCCTGGGGTGGGGGGCGTCTCGAAGGAAGAGCTAAAGTGAGAGGAAATAAGCAAGCAGGCAGAGTTTTTTGTGGATTGGTACCATGTAAAAGCACACACACCACCTCAGTTTGAAAGGGCACACAAAACTATATTCGAGTCTAGGGTTACAACAGGGATATTACTGATTACCTTGAGCATCTGGAGCAGCTTTCTTGGGGTCTTCTGAACTACAGAAAGGATGGAAAACACTGACATCTTAGATTTTTATGGAGCTCCTGAGCAACGAGTGGGTTCATAAGCTTAAACGAGGCTAAGGCGTGAGAGAGAAATGTGTTAGCATCTTTAAAAACAGGTAAGTTTTACTCCACCCCTGAAGTCAGCAAGAGGGACGAGCCATAAAGAAGGCGTGCGTTTGACAGGAACGAAATACACAGGCACGTTTAAAGCCTGCACAGCCTCAATGCATGTCGATTTTTTTACTCTTTTTATGAATTAGTGTTTCCCAAGTAAAAACTTACACTGTGCCTTGAAGGCTGTCTCCTGTGAGCCCCTCTCCACCTTCTGCCAGAGCCGCAGATTCTGAAATTTTCTTGCGCTTAGAGTTGGAAACTTTCCTCCGCTTGGCAGCACCGCTGTCCGGGCTCGGTTCGTCTTCTTCGTCGTCACTTTTGGAGTCCTTCAGCCAAGCCGGTACAGCCCTAGTCGACCTGTCCCTTAAAACCCGACCTGAGGTCAGTGGGCTCAACGCAGCACCGTTGATGTCCGTCGGTTTAGCGGAGAGGCCGGCCCTTGGTCGCCCGGCGCCCCGCTCTCTGAGCCCCCTCCTGGGGGCACCGACCGTACTGGTGGCCGGGGTCTGATCTGCGGCCTTGTCCTCCGTCGGCTTTTCACCTTTAATTACATCCTCGGCTCGGTCGCAGGCCGGTTCCATCACCTTGTGGGCTTCACCGCCTAACTCAGATTCCTCTTTAGGTTAAGCAGGTTTACATGCAAACTGAAGTAAAACTGGACACATCTGTTTTAAAGACGTTATGATTGCAAGCGGCCCTTATCCAACAGTGATGCATTTTCTGTTGGCTTCGTCGCAAACTAAATGTACACATTTATTGATTAGAAACTTTAAACTTTTCTTAATTATCTATTCAGCAATAAACCGATATAATTTTAAAGAAGCAGACACTATTTTGTCGTTCTTAAAGCCATAGTAAACCTACTTATTCGCCCGGGCCTAGAGCACAACCATTTTGTGCGCTTTGTTGCGTCTCCTTTAAGCCAAATATAAACCGGGGGCACGTTCAAGAGCGGCAGCGCGTTGTTGCAGATTTAAAAGGCGTCTGGATGGTCCCCTGCGCCGCTCTCGCGTTGGGCCAGTGTATCGCGTGTGTTTATAAATCGGCAAAAGCTGCGGCAGCCGGTTCACGGCAGTGCACACGAGCACATAAACACACGTACGCGCACACACATTAGGCTGATGGTGAATCATGGGAACTGTAGTTGAAATTATATCAGCCTGGGTTGCTATTGTTTTGTTATTTAAGGACCAATAGCGTTTTTGGGTGTGCATTGACAGATTACATGTGCAAAATAAGTATATACAATTCTTTGGCCGTTGGATTAATTAAAAGTGTCCATCACAATATTAATTGGAAAGTGGTTACATTTACCACAAATACAATGTGTATTCATATTTGAGCAGGCGAATTAGTCTCCTAGATGTTTTAGCCTACGGTATTTTGCAGTCGATGCCATAGGTAATAATAACAGATCATGCACTGAATTTCAGTTTAAGCTTTATAAATACGAAATTCGCTTCGCATTTCATCAATAATCAAGCACAGATGGTTGTGAAGTTAACATGGCTGCCACTGAAAACCTGCACCGACTAGTTTGAACGGTAGCCATGCTGCATGCAGCTAGAATTAAATGTTTACGCCACCAGATGGCAACATTGTAACACCAAAAAGTTCCGTTGTAATTTCTTCTTTTCATAATGTTTATGATAAAAACAAGGCATTGTCTTTAATTGTTTGTGTAAAAGAAAAAGTTTGTTGAGAATAACCGATGACTTGAAGGTGACTTGAATAGTGTCCCTTAACTAAGCTTCTGCTGTTTAGATTCACAGAAAGAATTGTTAAAATTTGCTCTGTTAACTTATAGTTATTGTCAACAAATGGTGTATTGCTTTGTTTCATCATTGTTACAACCATTTCTTCTCAGTTTGAATTTGATATGAGCATACTGAGAATGTTTACTATGGTTTTATCGCCTTTCCTGTTGAATTTGGAACTAATTGCAAAAGCTTTGTGTGGAACTAATTTGGAACTAATTTGCAAAAGCGGAGGACGCCTTCCCTTAAAATGTCTTTGTAGATACTTATGTTTCCCAAGCGGTTTTGTCTGTTCGTTGGCATTCTTAATGCCTTCATAAATGTGCAGCTCCACCGTGCTATGTTAACTAATGAGCCTCAATGCCATCTTGAAAGCTTCTTTTGACTTGTGTGCTGGAACACAGCTGGATACCCCCTGTCCGTTTAAGCTTGGACGCAACAGCATTTATTATTTCAAAGAGGGAGAAAAAAGTCAATAGAATATTTCAGAGGACGGAGTAGTGTCCTACATTGCCTTGGTCCACTTTAAATGAGCTAACACCGGAGAAAAAGATCATCAAATATTGCATTATGTTATGAATCCCCAAAGGAAAATTATACTGTCTAAATTTCCAAATGTTGTAGTGTTTGAAGATAGAAAACATTTATCTTCTAATAAAATCTCATTGACCTGGGATGGACTGGCGGACCATCCAGGGTATACCCCGCCTCTCGCCCATTGACCACTGGGATAGGCTCCAGTTCCCCCGCGACCCCATTAGGGAATAAGCGGTATTGATAATGGATGGATGGATAGAATCTCAGTAGAGGGAACACTTATCATAAATACAATGTTTTCCATAAATACATTGCACATATGTGTGGGAAGTGTTACCACTGCTGAGCTTCTATTTGAAGATAGAATATCTTCTACAGATCTTTGTCTGTTATGTATTCATCTTGGAATGATCAAGCTTAGGTAGTGTAATCATTAACATTTTTATTACAACACACTGTGAGAAACAATACCCTGTAATGTTGATCTTCAATAATTACCATTACTTTGTTCAAGATTTTAGTTAGACTCAGAATCTAACTGACTTGCAAGTTATTGCATTCTCTTTTTGTTTATATGGCAAATCTTAAGACAGGCTCATATCTTAAAATTGAATCAAGTTTGAATTTCCATAGGAAAGGAAATACAATATGTTCGAAGACCAAACAGATTTTAGTGCAGCTTCATTTCAATGGTTACACTAATGTCCAATTTTCCCAAATGTTGTTACAATGAACAAAAGAAAAGAAACGAAACTTGCTTCTGCTCTTACTGTGCTGTATTCTGTGATCTAAATCCTCCCTGAAGCTGTTGCTGGGGGTACAGAGTGTAACCGGGCTAAAGTTGACGTGCCAGATAGCAGTTTATGAAACATTGTCCAAACACTTTGCGAGTAATAGTTGATGTATAAGATCAAGGATGGGTCCTGTGAATCTGAAGCTTTCAGTAGACATTTTACCTTTAAAGAAATGTATATCGCTACCCCCCCCCCAGATGACTGTGTAGTCAAAATGATCGAGGACAGCACCACATTCTTTCAAAAACGCTTTATTTGCTTACTTTTTTTTTCTATAAATATGACAATGCAGAACAAAAGATCAAGGCCGTTGTTTCCAAACCTTGAGATAGAAAACAGTCTGCATACGTCTACAAAGATACAGCAAAGGCAACATCATGGCGACGAGGCACACACCAGGAAGAGTTTAAATGGTAACACCTCTATTAAGCTAGGCATACGGAGCTCAGCAGCACTGCCGCCAGGTGTTTGTCCCCTACTGCTGCGGCGTGGGTGAAATGCAGGTTAAAAGCAAGTACAGCAACTGTTCAGAGTGGAAGGTGCTACCAAGAGGAGGCAAATGTTTAACTTTCTGCATGCTCAATATCTGTGGTGGCTAAATCATTGCCGGAGCTCCCCAGCTCAAAGCGCCAGCTGGGACACCTTTAGCTAAATATGAAAGTTCTTCATGTTCCCACCCATAACACCCAGTAGAGTATAGACAACAACAGCAAAATAAACTTTAAAAACTATTGGTCACTTTGGCAAAAAAAAAGCACAAAAAACAAAACAAAAGAGAAGAAGAAAACCCAAAGAAAAACACTTTTTTCTACTTTTGTTACTTTGACTTTCATCCCTACACAAGGTGTAAATAAAGAAAAGAAATACATTTCTGAATATATTATACCTTTTCTTCTCACTTCATACAGTACACACAAATGTAATGTATATATTAAATATATATCCTGACGTACTGTCGTCATCAAAAATGCAGTTAACAGCAGTTAGTTCTATACATAAAGTCCAGTTCCAGTGGAGAGAAAACGCACAAGATCCATGCAAATGTGGACTGCGGACTTTTCATTTCAGCTCTCAGACCAATAACTTATCTCATCCATGATCAAAAAGTCCTGGACTGCATATTCAAAATTGTGTGTAGTCTTGATAAAAACTTGAAAAGTTAGCACATGAAATAATATCACATAAAGTGACTGAAAGGTGGATTCAAATACAAGTCACCTGACAAATGCTTGACATGTGTTCATACAGTATATGTTGTTGAGACTGACTCCCAGGGTTGTAGAGTACATATACTGCTTGCATATTTCGGAGAGATGGATCGCTCCAATCCGATTTTACACATCTTTTTTTTTTACACGCTGGAGAGTTTTTACCAGCACGTTCTAAACATTCAAAAGGCTCATTCTGTCGGGTTTTCCTTTATCTGTAAAGGGAAACTGTCACACTTAAAAACACTTTTAAAAAAAAGCCAAACTAGTATGTTCCACAAGTTCATGCCCTGTAAAAAATGTCTTTATCCGAAAGCGGCAATCTCCTGCCAGTTTTAAAGATGTGTAAGTGCACCTCGGTCGAACACAGTTTTTTTTTTTTTTTTTTTTTTTAAAACACACACACACGAACAAAAAGGACGGGCAGGAGGAGTGTTGCCACAAGAGGGCTCGGAGAGGAGACACAACCAGGTGAGGGTAGCCGTGTCACATCTCACTGCAGAAGCTGGCACCCACCACAGTGCAGTAATACCAGTTTGAGAGTTTATTGGAAATACAAAAATGGAAAGGACTCAGTGCTACGCTTTGAGTCTGTTCCTTTGGTGTCAACCACATGGGCGAGCGTGGTTATGAAAGGCACGGCAAAAAAGCATGGGCTTGCACATACCATGTGGAGAGGTAAGGCACTTTAGTCAGGAACAAGGAGTCTTTCCAAAGTCTTTATACTGGAGTGTGTTGTGTGTTTTTGGTTGGCTTTCTTTTTTTTTTGGCAAATGTGAGAGCTGTCATCCCAGTTTTTACAGAGAAATGTCTCATTTCTGCAGATATTTGTTCACCATTTAAGAGAAAAAGAACTAAACAAAAACAATAACACGTATATTAGCAAGGGGGAAAATAACATCTATTCAGTCTCAATCCCCAATCAGCACAGTCTCTAACCATGGGGATTATCTCCATGCACATTACGTCTTTCCAGTTTTTCTTTTTCGTCTTTGTCCCCCAAGGATTTTGTCTGAATAAGCTATCGACCAAACAAAAGAGTTCAGAAGACTGAACCACAGACAATACCATGTTGGAGCTAATTCCAGGCAAACAAACAAGCACAGTACACCTAAAACCTTCATTTGAAAATAAACCAGCACAGAATACGACTAAATGAACCAAAACGTACCAAACGGGCATGTTCAAAGCAAAAAACATTCAACCGGCATGGACGGAAAGCATCACCTACGGCATGTAGACCTGCCTACAACACTATCACTCAATGCAAGTTAAAAACTAGAAATTATTAGTATCCAAAGACCATGGTATGCTCTTTTATCAGTAGTTCCTGTTAAACTGGTACTTCCTTCTCTTTTGTGTCTACTCATTACTGAACGTAAAGGCCTCTTTCAGAGACTATTTACTTTATAATACAAATAGAGATCCAAGAATAACAAAGTTTAAATATGCATCTTGCCTTCATAAATACTCGAATGTACCTTCAGTATTCCCGTTGCCATAGAAACAAAGTGGCGGGATACAGAGAGAAAGGGAGAAGTCTTTGTGTTATTAATAGTTGGGGTTATTTTTGGGAAGGAGGAGTGTGTAGTCTACGTTTGATACAATATTCAGAAATAATAATAATGATAAAAAAAAGAAAATTGACAAACAACTTAAGCAGCTCGCCTAAACGGGTCCAGGATATATTGAGGACGACAGCGACGGACAAAGGATGTCAGGTAGTCATTTTGTGAATGTCTGTGCTCTCAATATTTTTCTACAAACTCTGCGAGATATCTGAATTCAAGAGATGGTTCTGTGTCAGAGGACAGACGCCCGCCGACGGGTCGTTCAGGCACGGGTTGGGACAACTTGGTGGACCCCCTCGGAGTCAGTAGGTCTGGTAGACGTCGTGGATGGGCAGCTGGAAGGCGGCGGCGGGAAAGGCCTGCGGCACGGCGTAGCCGGCGTAGCCGCCGTACGCGGCGGCCGCCACCGCCGCGTTCTTCTGCAGGGCGGCCAGAGCGGCCGTGTTGGCCGCGTAGTTCGCGATGGGGACGTAGCCGGCCCCATACAGGCCGCCGGCCCCCGGGATGCGCTGCACGTTGTGGGCCATGGCGTAGACTGGAGTGATCGGGCGCCCCTGGGTAACCACGGATAGGAGAGGGGAGAATACGCAAAACGTCTCGTGAAAATTCGAAGAAGCTCTGAACTGTACATTGGATTGACTTCATCTTTATCACAAAACCTTTCGGTGAGGACCAGCACGAAGCGTATTTCGGTGTCACGGGACGCACCTGGAAGGGCGGAGGCGTTGATACTGCGGGTAGAACTGAGGCAGCAGCGCTGGCGGTGGTGTGTTCAGGGTGCTGCATGGCCAGGGGGTTGATGAGATGCTCCACCGTGTGCACCTTCCCCTCCTCCATTAGCTTGGCGGCAGGAGCGGTGCTAAACACCGGGTACTGGGCACCCAGGGCGGGCAGTGCCACTACACGCAGAGAGATACCAAAATGAAAGCCGGGATAACAGACTGGGCCGCAGCAGAGTGTTTGTAGGAGAAAGGGCAGGAGACAAACCACACGTGTGCAACCATGCTTAAACATGCACGAAATCGGGCTCCTATCAGAGGGGTATCTATGAGGAGACTCTGAAATACTACCGAAAGTTGCTAAAACAGGGTAAAGGATGCAATTTGGTCACCAGGGGCCAAAGTAAGTTGCATAAACCGCTGTGGGGGTGTGATTCGGATTATGACGGTGCTCAGCACTGGATTAACCCTCTTGTTCCAACATTCGCACACACCAAAACACACACATGGCATACACAGCGTCAGTCATTGTTTCAGATACACAAAAGTGCTTTTGGTGGAGGTCCTGTGATTCCACACAGGCTGGGTCTAAAGCTCCAGTTTGAGGTCAGTTCATTCTAGACAGAACATGAGGGAGGCCCCCGTTTTACTAAATGGACCCGTGATCACCAATTGCATGATTTGCCACCTGAATTTAATGATACGGACATTTGGGTTTAGTAGGTTTTAGTAGCAATGAAGACGATGGAAGGATAAGGCCAGTGTCAAGCATCATAGGAAAGCATGTGTGAACGAGTGGAGATGATTCGCCCACCAAAACCGCTTTCTGTTTCTCTTTGGTTAAGTTGTTTTGAAGATAAGTTTCTTTCTCCGTATTTGCACCAGCACAGCTGCATCTTCCTCCGCTTACTAGCACGGGAGAAGGTACAAAGCTCTTTGAAAACTTTAATCTCATGTCGTGCTTAACAAATGTGCTCCCACTCTGCACAACACTGGCATTATCCCTCAAACAATCAGAGTAAGATGGACAGGATCACCTGTAGTTTGTGTGTTTTAGTTTTGCAGGTCAGCCCCAGTTTTGACTGAAATTTGCTTAACGAAGCTTTGAACTTCAATTAAGTTTTTTTTTAAAACACATTTTTAAATCTGGCATATTGTGGGTGAAAAGATTGCAGTTTTAACAAATATGTAGCTTCTAAGATAAAAACATACTATTTGCATCTTTCTTTGTCAAAGCTGGGGCTTATTTAGTTTGTGTGTGTGTAATTACGGAAGTACATCATTGGCACCCTGTTCAGACAGGTAACAGCACGGTGTGGAAAAAAAAAGGACTGCATGGGTAGCAGCAAAACTAATTTAAAAAATGCATTTTGTGACGAGAATGTCACATTTGTTATCACCTGATTGCCTTTGCTTTATCACTGTCCTTTTTATTTATTTCCGGTAATGGCAAATGCAGCCCTTGTGTTCCCTCAACACGGCACTGCTTCCAGTCTGAACACCCAAAAGGGTCAATTTTATGATGAAGAGGAAAAAAGAAGAGGAAAGAAACAAAGCTGCTACTTTCTGGTCATGCTGAAAAGGACAGATGTGTCGGGTTGTTCTTTTTTCTGTAAATCAGATGGAGGCGAGTGTTTTTTCCCCACATGACCATCCAGCAACCGCTATGATGCAGATTTATGTGAAGTTCCTCAAACCACACAGGGGAGAGGTTTAGTAAAGACTTTGGAGATGGGCGAGGACGTGGACGAACGTGTCTGTCTCACTGACTTGTGCCGGGTTTGATGCCAACTGGGTTGACAGAGGCAGCAAGCTCCAGACTGGGCATCAGCTCATAGGGCTTTTCGGACTGCTTGGTCTTGCCCTCGTGGTAGCGGCTGTAGATGCCACGACCGGCGGAGTAACCTCCGAGGTATGACCCACGCGGCCCGGGGGTACGATTACCTGCAGCAGCACGGCCACGACCCCGCACAGTACCTGCTTAAAATACAATTAAAGTAATATGATGACAGGAGTTGTCGTTTCGGACTTTGTGGGCAACTTTTGTTGGGATATAAGGATCGTCGGTTTTAGAACTTTTAAACGCTCCCCTCGAGATTTCTGACTCATTTAGCAGTAATATGCTTCTGCAGCGCAGTTGCTGCTGAAGATATCTGGCTAACTTTGCTCAGGATTTATATGTTTGTCTCAAGCATGCCCTCAATCCTGAGCATTGTTGTGACTGGTGGAGATCACATGCAGGTCGTACATATTCATTACACTGAAATGGTATTCTAAGATGTTTTTGGGGCTCTGGTGAGATCCTTGCAATAACCCAGCATGAAATGGGAGGTGACAGCACAGCAGGAAAAGGATGGTGTTAGAAAACATAAAAGTTTGTCACATGGCAGGAAAGCTCATTATTCATTGAAGAAATGAGTAGGAATATGGATGTGAGAGATTACCATTGTTCTGTATCATTGGGGATCCTTTGGAGAGAAAACCAAAACACAATGATTGTTGAAAGTCAAATAGGTTTTCCTGCTCCCGCCCAATACCACATTGAATCAATCATTGAAGGTAATAGGATTAGCATTAATTGGTCATCAGCTTGTTTTGTTTTTGCCTTTGAATACGTCTCTGATTTAAGCCACAGACCATTTTCAAGCTAAAGGACTCCTCAAAACTGCTGTACAGTGACATTTCTTGACGTAAATCATTAGTGTTGTCATCATTGTGGATATTTACAAATCCTAGCTGACATGATATGGCCATTTACTATCGCTCTAAGATCTCCTGAATTTAAATCTTAAATCTTTGGCACAACTTTGGCCTAAGTCTTTTCAGCTTCCATCAACGATCGTTTTAAAACGCATAAAGAAATGTGCTCTAACCTTTCACAAAGTAGTCCCTGTTGGGTCCAATGAGGGTGTTGTAGGGATAACCATAGTAGGCCAAAGTGTAGGGGTCACACTGGTATACGTAGCTCTGCTGAGTAGCTTCCGGAGCGGCAGGCACTGCCCCCTTGGAGGCCTTCTGGCGGGAGTACTGCTCTTTATCTACCGGCTTAGCAAGGGTCACCTCAATGCATGACCCTTCGATCTCTGTGCCATTGAGGTGGTCCTTTGCCTGCACCGCATCATCTCGAGATGTGAAGTGGACAAAAGCGTAGTCGCGGATTTTCTTCACACGCTCCACACATCCTGGGTTCCACTGGCTGAAAACCTGGTGAAATGAGACAGGAAGAGGAATGGCAATGATATGAAATCCAGTGAGGGACGCTTGTGTTGCGTATTAAGTCTAAAATAAGCTTTTTCCTCAACGTTAAACAAGGCCGGACTAAAAGTGTGTGTCACTGCCATGATATATCTGCATATGATGCGACAATAATACACGTCAGAAAAACTACGTACTGTATGAATCTATTCTTTTTCACCTCAAAGGAGAAACTACAAACCAAAAAGTTTGTAAAATCTCTTTGACCACACAGTGGGCGAGCAGACAGGCGAGTCCTACCTGTCTGATTGTCTCCTCACTGGTCTCCATCATTAGATTCCTAACGTAGAGAATCTTCACCGTCTCCATCACGTCTTCATCTACGTCTATTTCTGGCTCGGCCCAGTCTACGGCGATCTGGTGGCCCCACAGCTGAATGCGGCCCGGCATCAACTTCCTACGAGCCATGGCGGCTGCGCGGTGTGACTCATACTCTACAAAGGCAAAGCCACGGTTCTTCATCTTGTCCGCAGCGCTGGCATAAACTATCACGTCCAGCACGCCCTCCGTCACCTTGGAAACCTCCTCCATGATCTCCTCGCGCTTCTTGGTCTTGGGAATGCCGCCGATGAACAGGCGGCAGTTGTCCACCGAGGAGCAGACCCCCAGCAAACGCCCGGGCCGCACTTCAAAGTTATTCAGCTCCCTCACGGCCCTCTTGGCCTCGTGCTTCTCTGTGTACATCACGAATGCGTACCCCCGGTTTTTCCCGTCAAAGTCCATCATCAGGCGCATCTCATAGATGCGTCCCACAGACTCAAACACGGGAACCAGCTCGTCCTCATAAACGTCTCGTGGGATCTTGCCGACGAAGATTTCACACCCCCGAGGGGGAGATGGGCTACTCCAGCCGGGAGGGGGGCCGTATTTCCGTTGACCATTTTCCTGGACCATAGTGTAGCCAGTACGCTCCATCAAGGCCACCAGCGCGGCCTCGTTGGGAGCTCCCGCAACGCCTTCTGGGATGCTGATTTGTCCGTGGAAGGAATGGTGGGAGGCGGCGGAGGATTTGGAGGGCTTGGAAGGGGCAGCGTTATTGCTCATGGTCGAGGATAAAGCAGGATCTTCGGCTGTCATTCTGACAAAACCATCCAATCAGATCTGGGGCCTGGAAAGAGATAAGAAAGAAAGGTTTGTAAAATGATATAAATAGTACTAACCACAGCTCCTGTACAAACAGAAAAGGCGAGAACTGGAAGAGAGGCAAATGAATACAGGATGTTTCTATTTAGAAAAGCAAATTTCACCAGCAAAGGCCCACAAAATGGCTTCTTGCTGAGATAGAGAAAAATGATTAACAGTGTGCAAAGGATGCAAGATTACCTAAACAAACTAGCAAAGAGACATTATGTGACCTGAACACAAGTATGGATATACAACATCTATAAATCCTCAGGGCGCCTTTCCCTATCAGTGGTTTTACAACCTTGTTTTGTTCAGTCCCTCAGATCCCTTGCTGACCTCTGACCCATATCAGGGAGAATGAAGGGCTGTAAACCCTGAAAACCAAAGATCAAGGTTCGCTGAGTATGACTGGGTCACATGTTCATTGTGTGTGTGCATGGGTGCTTGTCAGACGCAAGACATGCTGGAGTTAAGCTATATTAGGAATTCTTTATGAAAAATGACCCCATACTGTGACCAAAAGCTGAACACATGAATTTGTATTGTGCATAACTTGTTTGACACACACACACACATGCACACACACACACCACAATCATCACCACCAGATGGTGTTGGACTTTCAACCCTCTTATCAATATGAATGGTATACAGTGTGTGGTAGCAGCTTTTAATATGTGTGCATTTCAGTGTGTGAGTCCCTTGATTAAGGGGCACAGGCCTCAAATAGCCACAGAGAACAATCAGAAATCGGCTTCCCAAACCTAAACCTCTTACTCCGTTATTTTCCAACACAGCCAGCATTCAGAACGGAAAAATCCACAGCAATTTAAATCCACAAATCTCCTTGCAGCGTGAAACACTGGAGCAACTGACCACATCTACAACAGAAACACCACTGCCTACGTGCCGGTCATGTAAAAGAGAAAAAAAAAAGTTAATAAAGTAGCATATTGCTGGGCAGGCTGTGTGCTCTGTGCGTCAAAAGACAGCCTGGACTTTGACAGAGGTAGGCGAGGCCATCAACAAAGGTGAAGCACTACAGAGCCCAGCAACCATGGCAACATGCACACTCATTTGACCTGACCCAACATCACACTCTCCCACACATTCACATCCACCTGTTCATTTGCTGGTTCCCCCAAGGCAGAAGGGCTTAAAGTTAGCACAAAGACCAAAACAGGAACATCAGTTTTATGGGAAAAAAAAAAAAAGGGAGATGCTCTCTATTGAAAACAAAAGAAAATCGCATATGGGAAAAATGTAAGCGTTCCAGTTTGATGTGAACCATCTTAACTATTTTGACACAAAGGTCAAGCGTGAGCAAAACACAAGCTGCTGTTTCCTCCTCCTTCTTTAACCAGCAGTTGATGCAGGTCCAGATGACCTCCACTGATATGCGCACACCATGTAAAGGTACCTCCCCCTCAAAAAAAAAATCAGTCAACATTTTCCCAAAAAACGGCTACTTCATAAAACTTGAGTCATTTGTGAGCTCTGCCTTGCTTCTCTAGTGTTTCAAGTGCTTACATGACTCAATGTCTTATCGGGCCTATCTTGCCCATTTGATGAAGAATTGAGGACAATATTCACTTTAGGAGTTCTGCAGGGTGATAATAACCCAAACTCTGTCACACTCTGCATGGGTGAAACACTCACACATACACACAGGCAAAAGAAAAACTCTGTGGTGATTTTTTTTTGCCCATGTCAAAGCTTTATTTTTCCCCCAGCGCTGGCTGACCTGCTTCCTGCTTTTGACCACTTGGAGATTCTTCTAACTTCCTCTGTGCTGACTGCGACAGAAGTGAAGTGAAAATTAAAGATATGCGAGCATTATGTGTCATCCAAAAGCATCTGTGAAATAGTGTTACCAAAAACTGAAGATAACAGGAGGCAACAGAAGGAGTGGGGGTGAAATGTAACATCAAAAGAACAAAGATAGCAAATTCGGGGAGAAAAGGGAAGAAAAAAAAAGCTTGCAACTTTGCAATCACCACCAGCGAGAAAACTTCAGGAAACTTTAACTTTGTGCATCAAGGAGCTTCGTGCAATCACGTGCCTGTGTGCGTGAAGAGGTTTGGGAGGAAACCTAAGGCACAAGCAGGTAGATAATTAACCTTGGTGAACACAAATCAGAGCCTGTTCACAGAGGACATAAAGATTTACAGATGAAGTGACACCAAGTGAGAAAAGTAAGCGCTTCTACGAAGTTGGAAACACTTAGGTGTGAGTCCTCCACTGTGATTTTAACCTCTTTTGTTGGAGAATAACAGGAAAAGTCAGCAGTTGTCAAGTTAAATATAATCAGAGCTCAGGAACCAAGTTCATCTGGTCAAAGGCTATGACCTCAGGATGGAGGGAGGAGCTGGAGAGCCAGTGAAGGAAGTTAGTGTCCCTATAATTTCTATGGTGATTGACCATTAGGTTATGTTTATGATCAATGGAAGCACCTGATTCACTGCATATCGGAAGCCTGTGAGCAGGACAGGATTGTTTTATGAGCTGACGAAAGAAGCTTTTATGAGCGACTTCAGGGCATAGACTGACTGCTGGTAAATGCCATATTTTCCTCAAATAAGCCAATGAGCCATGGCCTTATAAAGTGGAGCTCTATAGCACTGGAAAGAGGAGCAATGTATCTGTGATATCACTGTCTTGATGTTAAAAACAACTCCACCACTGGGCATTCTTTAAAAAAAAAAAAATCTGTACATTTTCCTATAAGTCTCTAAATCTGCAAAGCCCCCCCTTTTCTTCAGATTATGGAGCAAAGAAAATGTAAGCATGTGCACCGCATAGGAACAATGCTTCTCTTAGTGAGATGTTATCCTGACTGACATTGATCCAGTGTGGGGAGGCAAACAAGGCCAAAGGAAGCCGCCATCTTAGCTATAGCTGTATGCACACAAGTGGACACGTGGAGGAGATTGACTTGCGGTCTGCCGCCACTGACAGAAGTCACAACTCAGCAGGCCGGGAAAGAAACGCCAACCCTAAAACTGTAAGCACCCAAAAAGGTCAAAAACAGCAGGTGGGAAACCGGAAGACTCATGCAAACCCAGCTCAATTCATCCCCCCGACTCTGAGACAGATTCACAGACTTAGCTGCTTTAAAAGTTGACATTCAAGGACAACATATCCCTCACCAGCTAAAGGCAAAGAGAAAGAAGGGGAAGTGAGACTGGAGCAGAGCAACAATCTTGAGAAAGAAACGCCGCAGCAGAGGGATGGTGGGAAAGAGAAGAGGAAGCAGAAGCAGAGAGCGGGTCAGATAGAACGATAGCTACCCCTGTTGCTTCACAGCGCTCCGCTGCCTGGCCGCCTTCTCTGGGAGTGTAAGTCCACCTCCATGAGAGACAGGTACAGCAGGGCACTGAGCACAGAGTCCAGCCTCCTCTGCACACACACACAGACACACACACACACGCACACACACTGAGCCAAAGCTGCAGCCATGAGAGCAGATGAGGGTGGAGCTAAAACAGGTGCTTTCGTGAGCAGTGTGTTTTCAAGGAGGATTTTTGTATTTAAAATACATGAAACAACTAAAATGGAAATAATATCTTTTTTTTAAAGCCTGTCTGAGATATTCTAGGATCCGATACTTTAAATCTAGCCAACAACACATCTCTACACAAAGTTTATGCAAGCCATATGAAGGAATTGGCATCTGTCTCCCAATTTTTGTCCCTAAATATGAAAAAAAGGCACAGTGATGTTAAAGGATGCAGAGATGTGTGATGGGAAATGCAGTTTTGATGGCTTCTGATGATTTTCTGCTTAGAGAAGCAAAAACTCGGGGAAAAGGGCAGGAAACTTTCAAAATCAGTTGGGGGGGGTTGTTTGTGTCATAGGGATACTCGCTCTGGGACAAACTCACTCTGGGAGAAACCACCGAGGTGATTCATGTCGTGTCAGCACATGACCCAGTCTGTGTGTAAGCGTGCGTGTATTTGCAGCCCTGAGTTTTTTTTTTTTGTACAAAACAACGGTGAACACACTCCTAGCACGGCTTAACTAAAGCAAACAACACACACCTTCCTGGGCAGTCAAGAGAGCAGATAGGGGGGGAAATGAGGCCAGGGGAGAAAGAGTTTCTCTCTCCCCCAGCTGCTCTGAGAGGAGTGAGGGGAAAAGTGTGAGGAATACTGAAACCGGCTCCAACATCAAGAATCTGGTATAAAAATCAGAGCTGGGTAATGAATTACATGTTAGCCTGCCAATGGCATCTGATTGCACAAATGTAATGACTGAAAGCCATAAACTGGACATAACTGGTTCTACGACAACAGCAGCTTTCTATTTTTGATGTCCATTGAGGTTGTGTTGAAGTACAATTTCACAACTACAGTATAAAATGATAAAACATTAATGATTACTCATTTTTAAACATAACACGCATGTGTGTGTGTTTGTGTGTGTGTGTGTATGCGTGTGTCTCTGTGTTAAGACTCCAGTGGATGGGCTCAATAGTCTGTGAGGTTTTTGCCAAAACCAAGGAGGTCAATCCATATCAAAGATTAACTGTCCGTCATTAGCAGGAGCCAATCAGAACTCCGATTCGCCTCAGAGAGCTCAAGTGTTCTGGTGACTGAGCAGCAGAATCACCAGCACATCAGGCCAACAGTTAACTGTTAACACCAACGGCCGGACAGAAAAGATGGATTAGGATAAATCTCGATTGTCACCTCACTCATTGGTGCTCTAAAACACTGTTCAGATGCTGGTTGCTTAATCCACACTTTGTTCCTTAGAAGGTATCACTCAAAGGTTTCTTTCTTTCCCTTATAAAACTGTTGGCCACAAATGGAGACTTTCATCTTTAAAAGAAAGAATGTTATCGCCTTAAACCTGCAATGGATTTTAGCAAATGTTCATTCAAAAACAGACCAAATCAGCTTCAGTTGTGACATTCATGGTTGCGATATGTACCATATTTTTAAGAGCGTGGACACGCTAATGAAGGCCCACGGCACAAAGGCACCATTGTTGAATCTGCTTTACTCTTGTGAGCCGACTCCTTTTTTCTTTTTAAGGAATAGAGTCAAACAAATGGGGCCTGATTAATCTTTTAAACCAATTATAAAGAGATAGTGTTTGTCAGGGTCAAGCTTACGCATTGATTATGATTGGTCTTTGATCAGGATGGGTATCGCCTTTTCACGGTTCACACTGACGACTTCCACAAACTGGGACACAATCACTCAGAGCTGAATCAAGACTGATCTCACAACAGTGGGGAGAGCAGATAGTGCTTTTTGGATATCTCTGATAAGCTGGGACCCCATAGAGACCAGCGTCAGATACACACACACACGTGCGCACACACACACACACACACACACACGCACAGAGTACTGTGGTGGAATCTGCTGCATGGACACAACAATGAATAATCAGGAAAACGCTCAGCAGTAAAGCAGCAGTGGTAATCAGTATCTTGGTTTAAGAGGTTGTATGACTGACCATGACAAGTCCTCCATATAAGTAAATGAGTACCATGTCACAAGACCAGAGGTCCCGCTGTTTTTTTCTTTTCTACACAGTGACACAAGCTCGCACACACCTCCCATCACCACCCTGTTCAGGCTGCACTCTGTTTTTTTGGGGGGGTACACTCTCAACCCGCTGAATGTCCATTTTTACAGAGAGCTAAACCCTCCAGGATAACGGATCCTGGCTAAAAACGTAACAGAAACTAAGGTACAGAGAGAAATTTGTACATTATTAAAGTCAGCCGAGAGCAAAAGAAACGGCAAACTTCACAAAAAGAGACAGCTGGGAACCTCTTAGGCCGCACACAGTCCCCCTGAGGTGGACTTGGACTGAGAGCACTTTGACAGCAGCGTGATTAGAGGAGAACCAACTCACACTGACGTGTTCTTTTTATTTCAGTTCAACCTACTCATATCGTTCCCTAGTTCTGTTCACTCTCTTTGTGTTTTTTTTGTTTTGTTTTTTTGCTCTTTGCTTTCCTCCCATCCGTGTACCTGTCACCGTCATTCCTCTGGCTCACCCAAGCTCAAAAAACAAGTGGCAGGGAGGGGCAGAGAAGGAAGGGGGAAGAAGGGGATGAAATCAAGAGAGGAGATAGTGTGTGTGTAGTGTGTGGAGGGGGGTGGCAAGAAAAGAAGAGGGAGACGGGGGCAGAGGGGGGGTGCGGGGTACCAAATGTTCAGGCCTCCTTCAGTGCTCAAAAGCCCTTCAAAGTGAGACTGGCCTCAAGAATTTCAGGTCAGACAGAGTGTGTAAGTGACTGCCTTTAGCCCATTACGAACTTCAACACAGAGGGATGATTCCAGTTCATTTAATCTGAGCAACTCCCCCTCCACCATCGTCTCTGTACACGCACACACACACACACACACACACACACAAACGTAGCCGAAACAGTCTCCAGGACCTTCACATTTATCCCAAATGTCACTCACAGCACAGCCGGCAGACTCAGATGCAAGAATTTGGAACAGTTTGTGAAAAAGCCTCCGCACACATCACAGAGAGAAACATTTGATACACTCGGCGAAACAATTAGAAACAGAGGAGTCTCTCATTCGGCTACATAGTCATCACTAATCAGAAGAGCCGTTTAGCTTTAGGAGCTTTGCTTCCTTAGACAAACACATTCCTCGGGGTAATCAGCTTGCCCAAGGCCACAGAAGACATTGTTTCAAACCACCACTCCTGACGTTGACCACGTCTCAGCCGCAAACGGGACTTCAATGGTCCCACTTGGAAGCGTGTCAATGAGGGTGGAAGTTGGGGGGGGGGGCAACACAGGTACCACAGGCACACATATTCAAAAGGAGTTTTTTGTAAATGTTTCCTCATCTCAGGAGATGAGATAACGGGATGGAAATCCATACCGATTGTCCCAAGGCTGGAGCCTATCCCGGCTGTCTTTGGGCGAGAGGCAGGGTCCACCCTAGACGGGTCACCGGTCCATCACAGGGCCACTCAGAGACAAACAGCCACACACGCTCACAATTGCATTCACCCATTTGACATTTTAAAGTGCTCACTTAACCCAACATGCACGTAGAGGGTGCGCAGACACGGGAGAGAACATGCAAACTCCACACCCAGAGGTCCCCTGGCCCCGGGGGCTCGAGCCAGGAAACCTCTTCCTGTAAAGCGACGGTGGTAAACCACCACACCACAGAGACACCGGAGAAGCCAGCGTCAAGTTTTCATCAAGATTATGACCGACATGCTAACGAAGGGTTCTTTTTTAATCAAAACTCGGGCTTAAGGTTTCTGGTTTGAATAACATCAGAACCATATGAAAGACTGACAAACTCACTATGACTACTGGCAGAGTGGAGCTGCGCAGCCCTTTTTTGCATGGGTTTTAAGGAACTCATGCATTAAAAAGTTCGCACAAATGACAAAGATAAGTGAGAGAGGGGAGTCTTAGCTGGCCACCGATTTGAAAGCTGGCAGTTAACTCGGACTCGACCGGCTGACTGGACCAAGCAAGGGAGGGTTCACAAGCACGGGCCCGACCCAAGAGAACAGCCACAAGCAGCTCACACCGGCTGGAGGTGCAATCAACAAGACCCACTAACCCCAAGCCAGCTTGTTTTCACAGCTTGAGCTAACTAGATATGGAGGGAGCAATATTTGCATTCAATCCCCGTTTACTGAGTGAGGACAAAACTGGAGAGCAATTGAGCCATTCCATTCCTTTATTTCTTAAATTACATAACCATTTATATGTATCGTTTTGTGGTAAAAAAAAAAAGCATTCTATATTTGGGACCAAAAATAACTTCTGGATTGGAACTTCGAAGCTCGAGAAAAGTGTTTTCTTACTCACTAAGATCAGAACAGAGCTTTATGACTAATTCTTTTCTTTTTTTCATGCAAGTCATCTTTCATTTTCCTGTTTACTCCACATGCTTTCTCAAAAGCTAACCTTTGTGCTCATTCTGGCCCACCCTGTTGACAAACACAGCCAAGAAGCCAGAGTTCAAGCCTTGGAGCACACAACGAGTCTCTCTTTTCCCAACACGTTCGTTAGACAACTGAACATAGCATGAAAAAGTCTGATTATAATGTCAAGCATTTGCAGTATTTCTTAACCTTTACTGAGAACTGATCTACATCTTGAACACAGATACACACGAACACGCACTCAGTCTCTCTCGCTCACAAAACCAACAGCTCACCTCCCTGACGGAAAAAAAAAGTCCACGTATTATATGACGAAGAACCCGGAAGTCTGTAGCCAGTGAAACTTTCTTTCTTTTCTATTTTTTTCAACCCTCCACCTTAAACACACACACATTCAGCGTCATACCACTCCACTGGTTCCACTGGTTGCACTGTAAGGGCATCTAGATCTCCATTCCTACCACTTATTGGTCTGAGTGCTGCCTTTCTTCAATCAGTCTGGCTTTTATTGACGCGGTGAAACAGGTAAGTCTGGTAAAGTGCTCACACAAAGCAAGATGATGCATTTCTAGTCCTTCCAGGAAGGGAAGGGAGAGAAGGCAAATAAGCAAAAATCCAAATGTAAAGGGGTCAAGGTGCAAAATTCCTGCAACGTATCGAGGTCATCTTTGATTAAATTAGCTGTTGGTTGGCTACTGCGAAAAGAAGGCTTGTTCTCAAAAGCAGCAAAAAAAAAAGAGATGAGACAACCTAATGATTTTTTTTGTTAGTTTTTAAAAGAAAAATCATTAAGTAGAAGAACTTTTCAAAGTGAAACTAGTTCTGAATTTCGACAAAAAAAGAAGACTTTCCAAGAGATGAAAACACTTTAAGGTTGACATGAACACGTTACCGGTATCCCAGATGTTGAGGAGCGAACCCAGAAGAGGCAGTCAGTCAGTGTTTCGCTTTCGGCCGTTGTTTCACACTTGTCTAGAGTTCTCTGTCTCTATCCATTCACTCACGCTTGGTGTTGACAGGCTGCAGCAGAGAGTGCTGAGGTGGTTCGGTGTTTACTCGTTCTCAACGGCCTCAAGAGGAGAGGTGGGGCCATTCAGAGTCCAGGTAACCCCCCCACCTTTATTCTCCCTCCTTCAAGCTCTCTCTCGCATACATGATAAGGAAGGAGTCAGGAAAAAAAAAAAGGTAAAGGTAAGGGATAAAAGGGTAAAGGGCGTGACCGAAAGAAATGATTGACGAGAGTCAGAGAAAAGACTCCAGCTCATGTTTGAAGGGAGCCATAATTCTCATATTTCCCTCTGAAGTTAAGACCGTTTGCATTAGCGAACCATGCTATTGTATCAGTTCAAACCATTTAACTATTGACAAGAAGTTTCCCCTCCGAACAGTATGCATCATTGAAGAAAAATGTGAGGATGTAGGTGTATAAAGTGTAGGTTAAAGCATTGATTTTCATTGTTGGAAAATTGCAAAGCGATTAGAGGAAAGCCAGAAGGCTTTTCTTTCTTTTTTTTTTGGAAACTCGTTTCCTAACAGGGTGACAAAGGTCAGAGAGATAAGGTTTAAGAGCCGTGATATGTGATAATATTCCATAAAGGCCCACTGAAGCCAGTTTGATTCGTTTTGCCTTTTTAACTCGTCCCTAAGTGTTTCAAAGGGCCTTTTTAAATATGTTTCAGAAAGGGGGGATTGTAGATGTATATCTGTTTGGGTATATCTGACTTAATTTATACAAAGCCTGAGGCATATTTAAAAGGATCTTTTGATGGATTCAATTTATATTATTTCAGTTCACTGTTATTTATAACAGCAAGTGTCACCTGCTTTACTTAAAAGATAAAGTCCTGTTCAAGCCAGTTAGAATCTAATTAATTGTGGGACAATCATAAACCAGTCAGTTCCATTTATTACATTTTCAAATGAGCCATTTAAAAAAAAAAGGTTCCCCACTGAGGACACCAAAAGATTGCTCCAAAATGTGAATTCTACCCAATCCTCCATTCAGAAAATGCAGAAGGTGTTTGTGGGAATAAAAAAAATCCTCATTTGCCGAAAAAGGAATGGGATGACATTCAAATTACTTTAACTGATCAAAGTAGAATTTTCTTTTTACAGTTTTGGATCCAGTCTGTGCTTCATTTTCAACTCTGTTGCCCTATAAAAGCTAATTTGCCCAAAAAAAGTCTTACAAAGGGTATCAATGGTTACCTGACAATACAGTGAGTATCCTGATAAAGTTTGATGCGAGAATCGAAAGTCTCTGCGGTGGCAACACCGCCGGTAAACACCTCGAAGATAAGAATTACACAAACCAGACCAAAGTTGTCACATTCCAGTTGTGTTGGCCTGAACGCAGAGAGAAATAGGAAGGACAGCACAAAGACAATGTGTGGAAGTGTACATAACCCTAAACAACCCTTTAAAAGAGCGGGGCCTGCGCTGCAGTCAGATGAGGAGCCACTCTACACCGATACGAGCGTGTGCGTGCTATTGTCACTGTACGGGTCACACATTAACCAACGGCTCTGTTAATGAAGCACAGGCAATCACTGATCCTCTCTCCTTTCTGACAGCACACACTCACACAGTGCGTGCAGTTAGCCGGTCCAAAGTTTCCAAATGGTGCTCTCCTGAGGTCTGTAAAAAAAAAAAAAAAAAAAAAAAAAAAAAAGGTGGGATTGAAGGCCATGCACAACCATAACCATAAACCTTTTTTAAACAAGACAACGACTTTATGACCGGTGAGCTGTGTCACATAAGCAATTGCCTGTGCATACACATTATGTCAAGCAAAGTTTATTTACTCGGATCAATACAACGTGCAAAGTCCAAACGATCTGTCTTGTGGCTTCCTCGTCACTAATGGTCCCAGACCCAGAGCCAAACTGAGCAAGTGACCGATGACTTAAATAAAAAGAAAAAAGACTTAGAAAAGCTTAACATAAGCTCTCACTGGTCCTACAATGTGCGTCCTTTCCTCATGGATGACGGAGGTCAGCTAAATGTATTTGTCAATAAGATCATAATTGTAGCTGATAACATGGTATTTTCATCCCTTATCTCTTTTTTTTCTTTTCAATAGGCTGCTGGACTGAAAAAATAAAAGCCTCTGTGGGAAAGTTGCAAAAACAAAGACCACAAAACAAACGCTGCGGAGGTACTTTAAAAGCACAACGTCGTTTAGCTAGCGTCACACAGGGGAGGGAAGATAGCCATCAGCTTACTGTTAACAGAGACAGAGACGAGGAACTGGCCCCACAGGTTTCATGCGGGCCATAAAGCGCCGTACACAAACAGATCTGCTAACGGCCACTGAGATGGATGACGGCGAATCCAGCTCTGCCTTAGCTTTCAGACCACATGATGACTACTGCAACGGGCCACCGGAAAGAAGAGATCTTTTCTTTTAACCGGCGCTGTTCTAGCTGAAAAAAAACAAAACACATCGCCGGTCCGGAGTATTTCAGCCCAGATGTCAGAGGCCGGGGAGGTGGGAGGGGGGGGCTACTTTGTATTGTGTGCAAACTTTAAACTCCCCACGCCTGTTACTGGAAACATAAACATTAGAGAGCTGTCATCAGGCTGGAAGCTGGGCCACAGCGGGATCCTCCAGTTTGCATGTGTGAGAGGATCTGAAAGTTTGTCTGGATTTTTCTCTCCGTCAGTGAGAATGTTTTTTTTTTCCCTTCACTTGTCTTTATCTAAAAGCTTTGTCTAAAAGAATTTCAAAACTCTTTAAAACCCCAGAAACTTTAAAAACACTAAAGAGGAAACCAATTTGAAAAGGGAAAAAAAAGACAAGTTGCCGCGTCCAATAATTTAGTTATTTGCAGTTCTTTGAAGAAAAGATGTCTCTTTTATCTGCCCGTGCTGTCTGGATAGAAGCAAAATTCAGGTGTTCCGTGTACCGACACCTCAGCTGAGGGAGCAGACTCCACCAGGGTGTCACGAGCTCAAATGCAGGCGAGCACACGAGACAGGTGGAACAAAAGTGTGCAGAGACGCCTGATGTTTAGAAAACCTACAAGCTGACAGAGAGACGTTTAGCTCGCAGCACTTCCTCATCCGCACTCGAAAATCATGTCCTTTAACTATCGTGAACCAATCCCTGAGTGTCCTCTCTGATAACAAAATGACTCAGCACAAAAAGAGAGCCTCTCAGCTCACACACACACACACACACACACACAGGGGTCCAGTGCTTTTTCCCCCCTCCACCCTGTTGAAAGAAGTTTCCCCTTTTGCCTAGAATTTGGTCAGCTGACACTACTTGTAGTCATGTGGCTTGTCGCTAACCAGTTGCAGGAGAGTGCTGCAGTGTGCGTTTCAGCGCTACAATCACGGCCAAGGTCACGGAGACGAGGAAGGAGGAAGGCACGGGGATACGAGAAGAGAAAAGCTGCAGAACCTGCAGGCTAAAGAAAAACACTCACGCATATTACTGCTAACCACGAAGCAGCTGCTTATTATCTGGCCACTTACCAGGAACCACTGTAACGTCAACATGGATGACTGTCATTTCTCCCAATACCAGGAAACAAACCAAATTATCATGTGACAGAATGGAAGCAGGATGTGGATGAAATAAGAGTACAGACTGTCCAAGTCTAAAGTGCTTTGTGGGATCGTTTCACAGGCATTAGTTTCACACCAAGGTCTTTTTTTTGTTTTTTTCTCCAGAGGGTCTGTGTTCGTTCCACCGCTTTATCAGAATGTCTTACGTGCCACCACTACTCTCAGTGTGTGATGACAACACAAGCAAAATGGAAAAAAATACCCACAAAACTGTGTTGACACAACCTTTTCCAATTCAGACGTTTTGAGTATCGACTTAACAGATATGGTAAACGACCTGAAGGAAAAGAGTGTGCGTTTGTGCTTCTGGCTAACACTAAGGGCACTCTTACAGCCTCAAAACGAATACATGTAGTGACCAATGAGGTGCTGATCATCAAACTGGCCTGTTCGACGGCTCCTAAGCAAGTGAAAAACAATGCAAAGGGGGAAAAACATCGGCCATGACTAACTATTTCAAGCCAGTCATTCTACAGAGAAAAAGATTCCACTCCATTCATTAGAGGAAAATGTTTAAGATAGCTGTCAGTCCTCTCAGGGGTAAGTTCACCCTGAGGTCAGGACGTGCAATGTTCAACAAAAAGATGTCAAATATTACAGTTCATGATAGCTTGTTAGTTTAGAAAAAGACTGAACACATAAGAGCTGTTTGCAATGGAAGGCCAGAACAAAAGGGTTATCCACACTAAGGATAACAACCATAACAAAAGTAACGCTGGCCACGCTGCTGAGTGTAAACATTCACACCACGGGTGGCGTGGAAACTCCACGCCAACTCCAGCTGTCCTGAGGCACCATCATGGATTTTTGATAGCCGGCCACAGCTGTGTGCGGCGCGGAGGAAGAAACAGAAAACCAGGCCTGAATCTTATTCACGCCATGGCGTGTCGACATCAGTTTGACGATATCCCCTAAACTTTCTCAAGAGACTCCATCCGCACGCGAAGGCTAATTGCTCGTCGAATGAAACCAGGCTTTATTTTTTACCCCAAACGTCACGTTGGTTAAAACACTTTCAATATACTAGAGCAAAGAAGCCAGAAGCTGAAAAGGAGACACCCAAAAAGTTTTGGACTCATCCGGGACAATAAATGTCTGGTAACCCTACAATTTAAAATCTCTCAATTCAAATTGTGCATTTGCAGCCTACAGGTGCGTAGCGTATTGATAAGGATGTTTTCCTGGATTGTAGCTTGGCTGTATAAGATACCAACATATACCCTAACCCTATAAATTTGAAACCCATGCTATTGTAACACTAGGTTTTATCTTAACAATTACGTGTTGTAAATCATATGTAATAAACACAACTACGCTTTTTTATTTGTTAATATTTAGTACTAGACATAGTCGAAAGTAAATTTCCTCTACCACCTGTTGGCTCTTATATGTTATTACCGCATTATTAAAAGCTTGTGGCCACACGGCAGAATTACCTCGCCACAAAATTGGCTTTATATGGTCCGCTGCTGTATTTGCATGTGTTTTCCTCATGCAGCGCATGAAGCTCTCCTTCTGCCACCATCAGTTCTGCTTGTCCCTTTGTAAAGTGCGTGAAAAGTTGCAGAGAAGGTTCTTTAAGTCGCCTCCAGCAGTCTAAATACACTTTTCCTCTCCGTTTTAAAAGATGGTCATA